TCCACTTTATTTTCAGTTTCTGGGCCACGTGTGATAACATCCATAGATTGTATGTATGTGAAATCTGTTTTAGATAGTGTGTGTGAAATCTATTTGAGGGGTCTGTTTCTGAAACCAAAGGCATCTTTCTTACCACTGGCGAAGACCTAAAGAAACTGAATATTCCCTGGCAATGGGCCATCTCAGTCATCCCTTTCACCTGGGTTGAGTCTGGGTGATATATGAAGACAGAAATTGGTGATATATGAAGACAGAAATCTGAATAGATCTGCAAGACTGGTTATAAAGTTGTCTCTAGTAGGGAAAGGGGTTTAGTTTTTCCTGTAGGACATAAGTTGAGACCACTCAATTTAGAAAATTGTTCTTACACCCCTGCTTGCTTGGATAATGTGACTGCAGGAATAAAGAGAATTTGTAAGGGAGATTCTGTGGATGAGTGGCAGGTATATACAATACACTGATTTAGCAAAAGAGATTAAAACAATTATGGAAAAGGGAATGACTGGACAGAGGAAGGGTTAAAACAACTTCTACACCCCACTAGTTCTTCCAAACAGCAGGATCCTCCATTCGGCATCAATGCTGGAAAAGAAACATGTCTGTTCTCTCTGGTAGAAATGGGTTGGATGCCTGCTTTGCAATGTTTTACTCTGTAAGGAATATATTTTGCCCCACTCTCTGGTCATTTGATAATTGAAAAACCGGCTAGCTAGAGTCTCCAGTGCAGTATGCTGCCTCCTTCTACTGTGTAATGTTGGGAGATGGGAAATGTTGCCAGAAAAATGTTCTGAGCTAAGAGTACAATGCGCACACTATAAATCACTTTTAAATAGAAAGGGGGAAGGAAAAAAACAATATTTGTAAATTAAGATCAATTTATTAAGCCATTTTAAAAGCATAAAGTTATGATAAAAATACATATTTATTTTTAACAGTAAGAAATAAATATGCTCTTGGATGTGTAAGGAGCAAGTATATTTCTTATTAAATGGAACCACTGGGTAAAAGTCTGCCTCATGATGGTAATTTTAAAGCTACTTACATAGGAGTAACCTCTTTGAATACAGTGGATTTCTCCACCTAAGGAAACATATATACGGTAAACCTTTACTAGAAATCTCTGTAAGTAAAGATTCTGGAGCCAAGATAGGGAATATATAGTCCTCAAATTTTATTTATTTATGTATTTGGGGGGTTGCAGACTGCCAGAAATAGTGCAAATTGAGTCCACTTTTAGGGTTAGGGTTAGTGCTAGGGAATCATGGGAATTGTTTTTTTTCCTGAGACATTGAGCCTTCTCTGTCAGAGAGCTCTGGTGCCACAATAAAATATAGTTCCCATGATTCCCTAACCCTAACCCTAAAAGTGGACTCAATTTGCACTATTTCTGGCAGTCTGCAACCCCCTTTTATTTATTTTGCTACTGTCATGATATCTCAACTTTCCATGGCTCTCTTGTGTATTTGCATGTTCCTTCACGACACTTAGAAAATAAAGAGCTGAAAAGCACATTAAAAGCAGAAAACAGTAAGGAGACAAGCTCCATGTGCTCTGAGATGGTCAACTGTTTATGAAGTTATTTTTAAAAGCCCAGCATTTTTGTTGAAGGGTATGCATACTTCTAATATGAAAAATAATGTATTCATATGCAATTTTATGAATTACAGTTAACTGAATGTTGTCCTGTATTTTTAATAACTCTGATATATATGTAGCTGTGTTTGTTTCTAGCCCCTGAAGAAAACCTTTTATTATTATGGCCACAAGATGCTGGGCTTTTAAAATGAACTTAATAAACAGCTGACAATCTCAGAGCACATGGAGCTTACAGATTTCTCTTTCATGTCACTTGTCAGCCTATGGTGACTCAATAAATTTCCTAAGGTTTTCTTGGGCAAGGAATACTCTGGACTCATGCAGCCCAACCATATCTGGAAAGTCCCTTGGTCAACTCTCCTTTGCTTGAGACAAGAGAACCTGTCTGTGCATGCTTACCCAAAGGTATGTCCAATCATGTTTAATGGGGTTTAGCATTAGGAAAGTGAGCAGTATACAGTATAATTACAGCACATTCAAAGCAATGTCTAAGAGAGCCAGAATATTCTGTAGCCCTGAGCCCAGTGCCAGCTGAGATGGAATACCAGGCTATATTAAGCAAAGCTTTCATTTTTAATTATCCATGTCATGTTGGAATGAAAGAAGCATGTTAAGTCATGGAGACTGCATAGGGGAGGGAGCAAGTTATGTGGGAAAACTACTGATGATTCACAACTGAATCCACACTCATTATGGCTTCTGGAACCACTTTTACCAGTACAATTCTCCATGGCCTGGGCTGTTTGTAAATCTGCAGCAATCCCCTCCAGGGGCCAAGAAGGGGTCATACTAGGACTCCCTCACCCATTGTGGCAGTGCCAGCATAACTGTTGTTCAAGTCTCTTCCGATTTATGGCAACCCTAAGGAGAACTATAATCAGTTTTTCTGGATCTGGGAGTGCAGCTGCTTACTCAAGTTCCCCCAATGGTTTCCATGGCTGAGAAGGGAATCGAACCCTGGTCTCCAGAATTGGGAGTCCAATGCTCAAGCCACTACACCAGGCTGGCTCTCTGCTAGCATAACTACTGCTTCTTAACTGATAACCAAGATGCATGCAGTTGGGTATATCTGGCTTATATGTAAACCAAACAGTGTTTTTCCTCCAGTGATAAATGGAGAGTGGAGACCCTGGCTGTTAACATAAAACAGAACAACACACACAAACTCACAAATGAGGGCAGGGTTCAATATGCTGAGCATCCTTATTTTTTAATTTTTTTAAACACATTAATTGATTTACTAGCTATTTATGACAACTGTAGTGTCTATTGTGGCTCTGACAAGTTTGGGGTCAGAGGCAAATATTGTAATGGGGCCAGCTTTCCCCTACCTTGAATTTCACATCTGTTCCCTTTTAATTTCACAAACCTTATACTGCCCACTTGACTCTAATAGACTGTGGGGAGGAGTGAACACATGCAGAGTTCTATACAGAAGACAGAAAGCACAAATAAATCCATGTGCTCAGAGTTGTGCCATTTTACAATGACCATGGTCTATTTCCTGCACCCAAGCCATGTATAGTGAAGCTGAAGCAAAAGTATCCTTTTTAAATTCCTGAATTAACTTGATAATTCCTTTGCACTGCATGCCTGCCTTGCTTCTGAGATGGCATGTGGAAGATAACATTGCTGTCTAGTAATAGATATGGGCATGGAAAGGGATGATAAAGTTCCTATAAAGCTGGGGAGAATAGCCCTGGGCAAGTCAATTTCTGGTAGCTCAAGTAATTTCATAACATTATTGTAGTGGAAATTAAATAAGTGCATACAGGTCTGGCTCAAGATAGTTTGCTGCCTATACTAGAAAAGCACAACCAGCGGCATTCCCCCTGTCCTCAAAGCAAGGTACGTAAGACCCAAGGCTGGCCGATTTCTTATGGCAAATAGAAAATCCCAGAATCACCTCTCCCTGGGAACTAAATTCCAACAATAATAAATGAAATGTACTAACAATGTGCTGCCTTGCATGACACACCAAAAGTCTGAGACAGTCTACTTAAAGGACAATCTTGATTGCAAACCACCACAGTATTTCTTATACATTAAATGCAGAGGCAGAGTTTCTTGGATCCACCAAATACTTGTACGTTTGGACTCACAGAAATCCCAACAAATCTGATCAAGAGATTATACAGACTGTAGTCCAAAATATCTGGAAGGCACCAGGTTCCCACTCCTGCTTTAATCCTGAGATACATAATTTTAAACAAATTAATGGAAGAAACCAGAGGCATACTTTGCTCTTACATTGAAGAGTTTGTTACTTCATAAAAGGCAGGTCTGGGGAATCCCTTTCCAGCTATCTTTATTTGTTGTTGTTAATTGCGCTCGAGTCGACTTCAACTCATAGTGACCCTGGGGATGAGACACTTCTGAGATTCCCTGTCCTCAGCTCAGGCCCATGGCCACCTTGACTACCATCCAGGTATGGCCTTCCTCTCTTTCTACAGTCCTCTACCTTTCCCAGCATCATTGTCTTTTCTATTATTGAGTCATGCCTTTTAGGTTGACTAAATAGGGTGATAGTATGCAATCTTGCCATACCCCTTTGCTGAATGGGAACCATTCTGTTTCTCCATATTCTGTTCTAACACCAGCCTCTTCTGTCAAGTAAAGGTTACACATCAAGACAATCAGATGTTGTGGCACTCCCTTTTTGTGTGTGTCTGCCTGTAATAGCCAGGGCTATAGCCTGATTACCCTAAAGGCACCAGATCTTGTTTGATCTTAGAAGCTAAGCAGGGTCAATCCTGGTTAGTACTTGAATGGGAGAGTGCCAATTAATACCAAGTGCTGTAGGCTATGTTTCAGAGAATGGAACTGCAAAACCACTTCTGAGTATACCTTGCCTATGACAACCCTAGGAAATTAATGGGATTGCCACAAGTCAACTCCATAAGGCGACATGCACACACAGAGCCAGGACTATATAGATCACTGTACTTTTCAGTGCAATGTAATTGGGTTTATGCATTTGGCATGTTGACAGGGTGTGCTCTAATTCAGCCTGAACAGTGGGATGGGGAGGAAGACAGTTCACATGGGTGTCTGCCTTGGGCTGCCTTTTTTGTGGAGCGTGGTGCAGCTAGAGTAGAGCAAAGGAGCCAGCAAAAAGGAAGGAGGGAAGAAAAGACACATTGAAAACACAAGCAGCACTAGAGAAGTAGGTTAATTTTACATTTTTTCCCCAAAAAACTTTTAAAAAGTCATACTGTCTTCTGTGTTCCTCCATTCACCCCAAAGGCTGCCTGTGAGTGCATAAGAGGTAGTGGTTGGGAGGGCAGAATAGAGCTGCCTTGCCAGGCTGGCTGCTCCAAACGATGGCACATGGTGCATACTTAGGCTTGCCGAGTTGGTAAAGAAAGACAGAAGTTGCACTTTTGAGGCTGAGAATTTGGTTTGTTTGTTTTTTTTAGCCTAAGTTTTCCATATCATCAGATATAATTTGATACATAAGTGGATGGAGTCTATGAAAACAAATGCTAGAAATTAATTTTTTTCTGCTAGTTTCAAAGCTGCTAGAGAATGCTGTTGGGTGCTTATACACTGGAATAGATTAACATGGATATGTCTTTGAATTGCTGGACTGGTGTGAGGTGTAAGAGTTTAGAGGAGATGGGGTTATGTGTATCAGCTCAGGGAAGCAATTTTAAAAATGAAATTGGGTAGATACAAAGATGGAGAAAGAAACAAGATCTGAGTAAAGAACTGCTTCTGCACATCAACCCAAGGCATACATAAATTATACACATGACAGCTAAGTGATCTGCTATGTGTATGTTTCTGTGAAACAGACAGGAGAGTCCAATTAACTCCCCTGGTTTAACCATATACTTTCAGGTATGATAAGAAAATACTCTTCCTGCAGCAATGTTAATGGCTTTTGTTCATTAAATGGGAGGGGAACCATATTTCCCCCCCTCACCTCAGGCAACAAAATGTCTTGGACCAACTCTGAGCCACAGTGATATCAGGGTCAGAAAACCTCACGGCAGAAGCATAGGAATTACACTCTGTCAAAGGTGTCCACAATATGTCTGTATGCCTAAATCCCCCTTCTGTGTTTACCAAAGCCAGAGCAGTTAATCATCGATCTTCAGCATGCAAACTCCTGCCTAACTCCTGCACTTAAAATTTATGGGAGTTTTAAAAATTTCCGAATGCATGAACACTCCCATATCCTGAAACGCAGTTCAGGAGTGACTGCTGGAAACTCTTTCTGGCTTTTGGGAGCACTGAGGAAATGCTAAAAAGCTGGTTCCAGGAATAATATTTATTGGGACCACCAAGGGATCTTACATCTGATCCACTGGGTGCATCTACACTGTAGAACAGGGTCATGGTCAGGTTATAGGGACCACACAACGCCCCTGTCGAAACAGCTCCACTGGCTGCCATTTTTTTTTTCTGGACATAATTCAAAGTGCTGGTAATGACCTATAAAGCCCTCTGTGGCTCAGGTCCAGGCTGTTTGGCAGACTGTATCTCCCTGTATTAACCAGCCTGGGCTCTGAGATCCTCAGGAGAGGCTCTTTTCTGTCTAATTCATCACTATCACAAGCACAGTTGGTGGGGACACGAGAGAAGGCCTTCTCGGTGGCTGCCCCTCAACCAGACCTGCACAACTTGGCAGTAGGTAGGAAAAGGCCAAAATTAAAATTGGCTAAGCTTCTTTGGGCCGCAGATAGGTTTCAATTAAACATCAATTAATGAATTAGTAGTTAATATTATTCTGTCCTCCTCTCTTCAGGAGAAGCCCGAGCAACAAAGGAGCCATGTGGGGTGAGCGTTTGCCCCTCTTCCTCCTCCACTGCCCTCAGGAGAAAGTTAGGCAGAGGAGGATCCTTGCAGGGTGAGCGTTTGCCCGTCCTCCTCCTCCACCCGACCTTCTCCTTGGGAGAAAGCCAAGCAGCGGAGGAGCCTTGCAGGGTGAGCTTTCACCCGTCTTCCTCCACCGCTGCCACCAAGCCTTTTCTTCAGGAGAAAGCCAGACGGTGGCGAATGCTTGCAGGGCAAGGGTTTGCCTGTCCTCCTCCTCCTCCTCTCCTTCTCCTTGGAGAAAGCCAGACAGTGGAGGAGCTTTGTAGGGCAAGTGTCCATCCTTCCTCCTCCTCCACATGATCCTCTCCTCAGGAGAAGGCTGAGCAGCAGAGGAGCCTTGAAGTTGTTCCATATCTTTGTGGGCTGCCCAAAATCCTCTGGCGGGCCACATATGGGTCATATTTTGTGCAGGCCGGCCCTAGACTCTCGAACTCACTTCCCAGGGAGACCAGAATGGCTTCCTTTCTGCTGTCCTTCTGCTGGCAGGCTAAGACCTTTTTGTTCAGACAGGCTTTTGAAACAGAAAGTTTTCAAAGAATGGGGTGGGATTGTTTTAAAGTATTTTTCACATTTTAATCTTTTAATTTATATTTTATTCTTTTAACTTGTAACTTGTTTTAATATTGTAATAATTTAATTCTATTTTAATGCACCATTTTTCTATGCATTTAATACTACTGTTTTGTTTTAATATTGTAATAATGTAATTCTATATTAACGTACTATTTTTGTATGCTTTTAAGGCTACTGTTCTGTTTTAGTATTGTAATAATGTAATTCCGTTTTAATGTACTATTTTTGTAAGCTTTTAATGCTAGCGTTTTGTTTTAATATTGTAATAATTTAATTCTGTTTCAATGTACTATTTTTGTATGCTTTCAACACTGCTTTTTTATTATTTTAATGTACTATTTTTGCATGCTTTTAACACTACTGCTTTATTATAATTTAATTCTATTTTTATGTACTATTTTTGCAAGCTTTTAATGCTACTGCTTTGTTTTAATATTGTAATAATTTAATTCTATTTTAATGTTTTATTTTATTAATGTTCTATTTTAGTATGCTTTTAATGCTACTGTTGTTTTTTTTAATGTTGTGAGCCACATTGAGTCCCAGTTTTGGGAAAAGGGTGGGATATAAATAATAATAATAATAATAATAATAATATAGAAATAGTGCAG